AAATACAACGTAGTTGCGGATGCTCTGAGTAGGAGATCAGACTACTTTGGACCCATAGTACACTATCTGGATATAGGGAGAGACTTGCAGGAGAAAGTGAGGCAAGCAAATGCACAGGACCCTATCTATAGCGACCTCCTAAAGAGAGTTAGAGAGGCCCCAGAGACCGAACCAGATTACCGCACTATAGACGGGTTGCTGTTTGAGAAGACTAATGTGTTTGACCGCCTGTGCATTCCCAACAGCGAAGAGATTCGTAGTCTGATCCTAGGGGAATGCCACGATACTGAGGGAAACTTCGGTTGGCAAAAGACATTAGCCAATCTAATGCGCGTGTATACATGGCCCGGAATGAAGAATGACTGCATAGAGTATGTTCGCAGTTGTAAAGTGTGCCAATAAGTCTACAACACGCGCACCCCTAGGTCTTCTCAGACCCTTGCCTATTCCGGATCAGCCGGGGGACTCAGTGTCCATAGACTTCATGGACACTCAAGTCAAGAGCAGACACACAAGTCATGGTCATAGTTGACCGCTTTAGTAAGTATGCAGTTTTTGTTCCCTTGCCAGCAGAGGCACGTACAGATTTAGTGATACAGAAGTTCTTTGACTTTTGGGTTAGTGAGAACGGTATCCAACTGTCAATAATTAGCGATAGAGATAGTCGTTTCACCAGCCAGAACTAGCAAGAACTCATGCGAGTGTACGGATCTAAGTTGTTAATGTCATCTGGCCGACATCCAGAGACAAACGGTCAGACAGAATAGATGAACAAGATCCTACAGCAAGCTCTGCGCATGTACATTAGACCAGATCAGATAAACTGGGATGAGATGTTGCCTAAGGTAGCTAGTGCATACAACAACAGCATGCATCTATCCACCTGCCGCACTCCCAATGAGTTGCATAAGTCCTTTAGACCACGCAGACTGTTCGAAGGACTGAACCGGGATCAGATTCACAGACTACCGCCCGGTACCAGGGAGTTTGCGATACAGCACGAGAAAGAACTAGCCACTGTTGTTGAAAACCTCAGGAAGGCCCAGCATAGGATGATAGAGCAAGCTAATAAACACCGTCGCCCGTCGCAGTTTCAGGTAGGCGACTTAGTTTGGGTCAAGGCTAAGGAGTTTGCACCGGAAGAAAACATCTCGCAGAAGTTACTGCCCGCATATAGAGGACCGTGGCCGGTTCTAGAAGTCAAGGGCGGAGAGGATGGACCGTCCTATAGCATTTAAGTTCCAGCACACCTCCACACATACCCTGTGTTTCATGCTTCCAAGCTGCTGCCATGTGTCACAAGTCAACAGTTTCCTTCGAGAAGATCCATGATCCCCCCGCATATGGATGGCAGTTATGACATTGAACGCATTGTAGACGAGGATGTGTTCAGAACAGGGGGTAGAGGTCGTCCCCAGAAACAATATAAGGTCCGTTTTGCTTATCAGGAACCGGAAGACGACCGCTGGTTCACGAAAACAGAACTTCTAGAAACCGCTCCCGACATAGTCAGAGCCTATGAACGTGACAAGAAAGGTGAAGGTCCTGCCTTGGACTAAAATTTTCTCGGAGGACCTCGAATTTAGGACGGCGGGAGTGAAACGGTTTTCACCTTTTAGCAGTAGCGAATGCAGTACCCAGGGTTCGATCCCTAGACCTCACCCTACCTATGTACAGTATCTGTATAGATCCCGAGAATTGAACCTGCGACCTGTGTATTCGCAGACAGTTGGTAGGTCTGTCGTAGGTCCATAGGCAGCAGGGGTTCGATCTGTAGGTCTATAGCGTAGAAGTCTTAGTGAGTTCCGGAAGCTTAGCTGTAGACCTTCTATAAGGTAGGCAAGTGGGCAAGTGGTGGACTAAACCGCAGTGCAACAGCAGTGCAACGTCGGTAGGATAGCGGTGAGTCCACAGTCAGTCAGCGGAAGGTCCAGTCAGTCCCAGTCCGGTCCAGCAAGTACCACAGGGGGACTGTGAGCACCAGGGGCCGATGGCAAAGGGCAGACCAACGAGTTTCTGAAGTATAAATCAAGAGGCAGCGCCCCGCCATTCATTCATTCCTGCGTGAGCCATGCAGAAGCGCTGCCACAGCGACTTGTGCAAGGAGGTCTGCAGATGAGCCCGGAGGACGCAGTGGGCAAGAGAGAGGGAGTTCGCATAGCGATAGGTTAGATGCAGCGATAGCTGCCATAGCTGTAGTCAGTAGCGAGTGTGTGTGTGTGTTCGAGTGTTAGAGTGACGCGTGTGGGATATCCAGGGTGATCCAGTGTATGTGAACAGTGAGATGTTTGGGCGCTGAAGTCGCCATAGCCCATTGAGAGTGAACTCGTATCTGAAAGCCATATCTCTGAGTTGTGAGTGGGCGCATGTCGCCAGTATGCTGCGTTGCTGTTTACATGCATGAAAAGTGTGTTTGAGAACGAGTCTGATTGCAGAACCACTACTAGAGGGGCTAATATGAGCATCCCCCACTAGTAGGAATCTCCGGCTGCTCCATCTATTGGTGGGGAGCACCAGTAGTCAATGGGGTAAACTGTTCTCATATAAAAAGCATTCAAAACATGCTGAAATTTTGGAGGTCTCCGTTAACCACCACTCGTGGGGAGCTGCACCTGCTGCAGAGTTAAAACCAAATGACAAGTTGTGTCCGCCTGCATTGATTGCCCCAGGAAGTCCAGGGGATTGACTGCACGGGTGTTGATGTGTGCTCTACATCATAGCCACTTGGTGAGCTGGACCTGCCTCTTCAGCCCCCCATGGGGCCGCCTGATTCTACCTATGGCCTGTAGCAGTCTAGCTACCTTTTCCATTGAGCAGCATTGGAGTGAGTCTGAGACTCTGAGACACAGGTTGATTTGGTAACTGAGGAAGACATTTCCTGCCACGACTACCTTTATGCCCTTAGTAGGGCGCCAGATCACTACTATATATCCCTACTATTCCCTAGTCATTGTGTCCTCTGCTCTACACCGGTGATTATTCTGCTTTGCTGTTGCTTCCTGCCCACTGCTTCTTCCCCCCCCCCCCCCCACTCTTTAAACCCTGATCCCTGGGCTTCCACTGTATATTCCTTTACCTTCCTTTGGCCCTTTTCTCCTTCTGCCATTGCACTGCCTGTGCATCCTTGCCTGTTTCTGCCCTCTATATCCCTTCTATTCTTCCATCCCATACCATCCCAGTCCTCAAGCAATTTAACGGGGGGGGCAGAAGGGCTCTGGGAAGTCCTCGCATGGTCTCATTTGGATGGATCCGACCAGCTTGGACCACACGTGGAACGCAAGCCTGAAGTCTCTTGTTACTTCTCTCCTCTCTTGGGCCCCTTCTTGCTCCCGTTTTCCATTCACCCTCCCTATTTCCCCCCTTTGTGTCCCCCCAAGCCAGCTAGTGCAGAAATCTTGGATTCTCTGTTTTATTTCTCTCTCTGTGTGTATATAAAGAATTTGTGCTTTATATGTGTGTATCTAAAGAATTTGTGCTTTGGGGGATGGACCCAATTCATGACTAATCTGTTCAGATACTCAGGAGGATGCGCTGTTCCTATGAGAGAAAAAACATAACTACGGCTTCATACAAGCCCAGTCAACGATAATAGACACGATCTCATGGAAAGTGCTGCAGAAAAAGATGGTCACTGAGCCGGACATTGAGAAAAATGAAAGACTACAGAACAGCTTCGCAGAGACATGGACTGACCCAAACCAGAGACTCTGCAGTCTCAATGATGATAACACCCTCACATAGCATCCCTGGCTCCTCTCTGAGAGGCTGTGGGAAAGACTGCCAACGCACCACTTCCAAGTCGTCCATCAACCAACAGACTTTGTCCTCATCTATGACTGACCATCCTCTACTGTCTTAAACAATGTACCACCTCCTCCCTACACTGTGCATCTTCCCATCCCCCTCCCCCCCCT